GTAAAGTTTACCGTACCAAAGGTTTATTCAGTACGTAAGAATCTCGGTATTTGTACAGTCTAGGAGAGTACATTTGTTTATTGTTAATTGTTTACTTAAAAAAAGTTTAATATGCATGTTATATATTATTTACATATTTAAGTCAACAGTATAAGCCAAATTTTCATGCAAAGAATATAATTTGATTAAAGTTTACAATAAAACTACTCGTTATTCAAGTTTAATTATAATTGACGACATTGTTCTGCAATTTCCTTGACTGTAGTCGTGTTGTGTGTGTGTACCAGAAGAGTGTGTGTAAAGTTACCATACTGGTCTGCAAAGCAGTGCGACTGTCTTTCTCATGCCAGACCAGCGCCATTTCCTTTCCCTTTATTCCTATTCCCTGATTATTTTAGTAAAACTCAGTTTAAAGATATGAGGATATTTTCATCTTTGTTTGTCTTAAAGTTCGGAATTTTTGATTTTTCTTTAAAACTTTTTATTATCTTTATTAATAATATTTATTTTTAAAATAATAATGTTCTAATATATATTTTTACACCAAAATATTCTAAAATTTTCGGGGAACTTTAATATAAAAAAATTTGCTACCCTTCCCGCCCCCAGATAGTTTAAGTGTTAAGATGCATATTTTTAAAGCTGAAGGAAGACAAGAATGTGCTCAATTAAGTTTGATTAGGAATTGTCTCGTATATCTGTCTTGGTATTTTTAAATCTTAATTTCCCGTCCTTTAATGACCCAAGTGCACCAAGGGATTGATACTTTTCAGGGATTTATATTTTCTAACAAAAAAGATCTCCTCCCTCTTCCCCCAATTGAAATCATGATGTCGTAAAAGAAAAAGAAAACAAAGAGTAATACAAGACATTGAGAACCAAAATTCCATGCTCATTGTTCAAAATCTTATAAAAGTAATTTTAAAAATTCTGTTGTTGATCATTTTATTTTTTATCCCATCCCTTGTTCAGTTAAAATTTGGACGGTTTCCAAACTGTTAGAATTAGTTGTATATCCACTGTTTAGTTCTTTAATCACATCCAGGAGAATACACCAGGAACCCATATCATATCCACTGTTTAGTTCTTTAATCACATCCAGGAGGATACACCAGGAACCCATATCATGTCCACTGCTTAGTTCTTTAATCACATCCAAGAGGATACGCCAGGAACCCATATCATATCCACTGTTTAGTTCTTTAATCACATTCAGGAGGATACACCAGGAACCCATATCATATCCACTGTTTAGTTCTTTAATCACATTCAGGAGGATACACCAGGAACCCATATCATATCCACTGTTTAGTTCTTTAATCACATCCAGGAGAATACACCAGGAACCCACATTATATTCACTGTTAAGTTCTTTAATCACATCCAGGAGGATACACAAGGAACCCATATCATATTAACTGTTTAGTTCTTTAATCACATCCAGGAGGATACACCAGGAACCCATATCATATCCACTGTTTAGTTCTTTAATCACATTCAGGAGGATACACCAGGAACCCATTTCATCTTTGTCTGCATGTCAAGTGTACTGCAGATTCTTGAAAGAATGTAAACAAAGTCATATACGCCTTTCAGACACTGCAGTACACTTTTTATTTAAACAAAGATGCTGAGATCGAGCTTTGCTTATCCCAGAAAATGCCCGAAATATGGTGTTGAATACGCCTTCCAAACGCTATATAGTGTACTTATTATGTAAACGAAAATAATGGGATTCCGGCACTCAACTCGAGAAATGTACTACATAGCTTTGTTTACCTAAAAATTGTACTGCAATATTCAGTTTTGTTTATTCTAATCCCAGAAATTTAAGTACACTTTTTATGTAATTAGAAATATAGGGATTCCGGTTCTTCATTCTAATAAGGGAATCATATAGATTTGTTTTAAAATAAAATATAGTTAAGTTTCTGGGAGAATTTAAAGTAAACAAACACAATGCTTATTCTTAGCCCAGAAACTGCACTACACTTTTTATGTACTAAGGGAAATTTATGTACTCTATGTACTTAAAAATAAGGGAAATTTCAAAGGAACAAATTTTATGGTGTTAAAAATAAAACCTGTTGGCAAGTGTTATTGTAAACAATTTTAAAGTTGTTTTTCTATTTGAATCTTAATTGTATTATTTGTTAATCATTTCTAAGTGTTTTTAACTCATTGGCAACAATACTAGCATAAAATATGCATTTCAGAGTGAGAACCAAAAAAGAAACATTTTTAAATGTCAATATTTTTTGTAATTTTTATAATATTTATGACATTTTCTTAGGAATAGTTCAGTCGCAAAGTACAAATATAGTTCAGTTTCAAAGTAATTAAATTGTTTACGAAATAAGTTTGCTTTCAGATATCTTTAACGATTCGCAACAGAAACAAACAATTCCGTTAAATCTTATATAGAATAGGACTCAAACTGCGTTGTTTATTAAGCTAGGTTTTAAAAGGACTTCCAATTATAAAGTTGTATGCTTTATTCACAACGGTAACCGTCCTACCTTTTTGTAGATATCTGCTTTGTTCTATCCGAAAATTTGTTAATTCTGTAAATTTCTTTCTTTTTCTCTTCTGCGCGAATCCAAAAGTCACTGTTTCAGGGAAACCACAATTTAAAATTATCAATTTTTAGGAAGAAATAAGGATAGTTTTGTTCTTTGTCTCTGTCCAAGGTTTAATGGTACCGTTGTGAATCTATTTGATTGAAGGGTCATTTGAATTTACTTTTACAGTCTAGTTCAGGTACCGTTGTGAATCATTTATGGCACTTTCAAATGAAGGGGTACTCTAAAGCTATTTTAAAGAAGAAAAAAAGAAAATTTCTGTTTAAAATTAAAAAATAATTGTGAAAAAAAACTAAAAAATGTAAGATTTCTCTGAGAAAACATAAATGTTGCCAAAACCAGTATTTCTGGCACCTTCCAACTTCGCTATAAATTCCAGCAAGCAACTCCTCGTCACTTTCACTCATTTTCAGATTCTATAGATTTAATTATTTACTAAGTTCAAGAACAAAAGATCAATAAAATTTATGAAAAAAATAGTTGTTCAACCATTTTTAAATTACCATTACTTCTTTTCTAATCCCTAAATCTTTGCAACCCAATGGTGTAAACCATAGATTAATAACAACAGAGATAAAACACTATATGTCGTCTTTTCAAGATTTAGGGGTTTTTTGTTCACGATAACCCTGAGGCAGAGGTCCAAAGTACAGGCTCTCTGTCTTGTAATTCAATGCAACATGCTTCTGCCTCAGGGTTATTGTGAACGAAAACCCCTAATTCTTGAAAAAAACGACAACTAGTGTTCTATCTGTGTTGTTATGAATCTATGGTTTAAACTTTTAATAATTTAAACTTAGATCATTCGATCGAACAATTAATTTGTTGTAACCCCCCCCCCTTTTTTCAGTGTATTTTTATAAAGGTATTATGATAATTTGTATGTCTATCTCGCTCCAGGCGCTAGAGGTGGGGGGGGGGGACCTTTTCGAATTTCCCATATTTAATCCGTTCTTAAAAATCTAATTAAATTATAAGTTGACCAGGTGCAGTTCAAATTTTTCCAGGGGAACGTCTCCCCCCTCCCCCCCCCCCTCCCACACTTTAGCCGCTACCATGGGTTATACCCTGAATTTGTAAATGGGTAAACATTGGATATTGTTTGTATTTAATATCTGCAAAATGTAAAACCCCGGTCCGATGTCAATTCCCTGTCATAAAGTTGAAATTGTTGATTTTAGAATAATATATCTTTGATGTCCTCCATATCAATTTATTTTGTGAACAGATTTGAAAATTTACCAAATATTAAATACATTTTGTTCTCATTATTAATGCTAAGTTTTACTTTTTTCGATTAATTCCTTCGGTATTTATTTTAAAATACTCTGATTTTGGATTCTATTTACTGTTTTTACTTTCAATATTTACTTTTTTCTTCATTTAACATTTTTTTAAGGTATCTTCATTTTTCATTTAATTTTTTTGTAGAAATCGTCTTTTCCTAGATTTCTATTTTTTTCACAGATTTCCATTATCATCATGATTTCCTTTATTTTTGCTTTCTAGATTTACAAAATCTTTTATTTCTTTTTTTCTAGATATCAAATGTCTTCTAGATTTAATGTAACCCTTTTTTATTAGATAGCTATTATTTTCCATAATTACTTTTTGACAGATTTCTTACTCCTTTCCTTCCTTTCTTCTAGATAAACGTTATCAGTTCTAGATTTCAATTATATTCTAGAATTTTTCTAGATTTTAAATATCTTCTAGATTCCCTTTTTCCAAGTTATCCTAGAGTCCTGGTTGCCCTGTGTTATATCTAAAATCTATACAATATTGATTAGACACAATAGTCCTGATATTCAGGCCTGTAGTCTGCCTAGCAAATATAATTATCACAAGGTTTTCTTCAGGGGGTATACATTTTCCGACCCCCCCTCTAACCCTCCCCCACCCGGGCCCTTTCCTCTCATTTTAAAGTAAGATATGATGTTCTGCGCTCTGCACTATGTTCTCGATATTGTTTCGCACAGTTTTATTTTTCCTTAGAAAAAACAGTTCGTAATCTATTAAAAATCTCTTGTCCTCGTAAATAAATTTTCCTTAAAAACAGCGTGGATTAAGTGTTATCAACGCCATTTTAAAATTAAAAAGTAAAATATCGAAGAGAAATTTTGCGTTTCTTTTATCTCAAATAAATTTGTTAATTAATTACTATTTACTATTACTGTCACCAGCGCAGATCAAAGCGGTGCGACAGACTTAATAACAAATTAGGCGGATGCATAAGAGATAGTGGGATAGAAAACTAGCGAGAGATTCAGGGTTATTAGGATATAAACAGGGTGGAATAAAAACCACAAATGTTTTTTTCTTGGACACCCTGTGTTGATAGGATTAAAGTTTTCTTTGATAAACTTTCAATTTTTCAGTTTTAATCTTTTTTTATGAGTTAAACATTCCTTGTTTCAGATAAGAGGAACGCTGTGTTGAGCGTTTAGTGGAGAGCAGCCATGCTCTAAACATTTAGGAACCCCAGATATTATTCATAGAGTATAGACAAGTGAATAGAGCATGCTCTAAACATTTAGTAAACCCCAGATATTATTCTTAGAGTATAGACAAGTGAATAGAGCATGCTCTAAACATTTAGTAAACCCCAGATATTATTCTTAGAGTATAGACAAGTGAATAGAGCATGCTCTAAACATTTAGGAAACCCAGATATTATTCTTAGAGTAGAAACAAGTTAGAATATTGCAGTAGCAACTATAAAATTGGGAACGGTGGTCGACTTTGATCGTTTAATCAAAATTAGATTTTTATAGATAAGTTTCATGTTAAACGAAGCTCAGTATATTAATGTTTGTTTGGTATTATTTGCTTATTGTATTTGTGCAGAGAGTGTGGGGGGGGGATAATGTTTATTCAGTGGTTTATGTATGATAAAGCAGGTAAGGATGGATTGAAGGAAGTTTGGGACAGCAGGGAACTGGGAAGAATAAATTGCTTGATAGGAGTTAGAATCAGGGAAGCAAGGATGAGAGAATAAATGACAGGATGAATGAATGAATGAAGGATGGGACGGGTTTGAAAGAATGAGTTGTCTGATTGATTGTCTCTAGGGTGTGTTTATATATGGAAATGGTTTTCTGTGGAGAGGAGAGATTACACCGTTAAAGGTTGGCACCCTGAGGAAATATAAGGATTAAGAGACAAGAGAGAGGGATAGGACGGATAAAATCATACTCAGGGTAAAGTCAGGATCAGGAGTAAGGTTTGGATATACAGAAAATAATATTTTACTCCGTGTTGAGCTAAAAAATAGAATAGGATAAGAATAGATGGAATCTTATTTCGGGTGCAATAACAGTACAGAAGTAGGATGGAAAGGAATGAATTTTGCTCCGGGTTCAACTATAGTACAGAGCTAGTATTATAACGGATAATATCTGGATGCAGGTTGTGAAAACTCTCCTTGAACCAGGATGGGAAAACAAAACAGTAAACTTAAACCAGAGGTCCTGGACGATCTCAAGTCCAACACCGAGTTCTCCGACGCCGAGATTCAGGAGTGGTACAAGGGGTTCCTCAAGGACTGCCCTAACGGTCAGCTGTCCGTCGAGGAGTTTAAGAAAATCTACGGAAACTTCTTTCCGTACGGTGACGCGTCAAAATTCGCGGAACATGTGTTTAGAACATTTGACGCCAACGGGGACGGAAGTATCGACTTCCGGGAGTTCTTATGCGCCCTCAGCGTGACCTCTAGGGGTAAGTTGGAGCAGAAATTGAAGTGGGCCTTCACCATGTACGATCTGGACGGAGACGGGTATATCACGAGGCAGGAGATGTTGGAGATCGTTACTGCAATCTACAAAATGGTGAGTTCAACAATCCCTTTAGTTAGATATAATAGATAGACAACAACTTTATATAAGGAAAAATAGTTAAAGCAGTCGCAGACGTAGTTTTCAAGTGAACTTTCATTCTCAAAGGGACCCTTAAACGAATTCATGATGAGTTATTCATGTTTTCCTCTAATAAAATCAATTAGTTTTAATTGTGGTTTCTCTATAAAAGGGACTAACGGAAAAATGCTACAGAAACAATGGAGGAAATTGTCAACATTAACAATTTGAAACTAGAAAAATTACGATATCTTAATCAGTACAGATCAGATAAAGGGTTTTAATGGTACCATTGTGAATCTTAATATGGAGGGTTACTTGAAATATCAACGACAGAACCTTTAAAGAGAAATGATATTGAAATGAATAGTTTCCTCGCAAAATAAATGCACTGTCTTTTATGTGTCATTAATCCTTGCTTCGCAGATAAACCTTTTATTCAGATTATATTATTAAATATAAACTTCCTTTTACACTCACCCTCGCTTTTATAATACTTTTCTTTACTTTCCCTTCCCTCACTTTTATAATTCTTTTCTTTATATTCCCTTCCCTCACTTTTATAATTCTTTTCTTTATATTCCCTTACCTCCTTTAGTATTCCATAACTTTCTATTCATACTCTTTTTCTTTGTATTCGATTCCTTTTTTCTTTTTTTAGCCTTATTCCCCTGTGTTTTCCTCTCTTTCTTTTGGTGGTTTCCTTCCCTTCGTTTTCCTGTTCTTCCCTTTGTATTTCTTTCCTTCCCTTTGTTTTCCTTTTCCTTACCTTTGTTTTCCTTATCCTTACCTTTGTATACCTTTTCCTTCCCTTTGTATTCCTTTTCCTTACCTTTGTATTCCTTTTCCTTCCCTTTGTATTCCTTTTCCTTACCTTTGTATTTCTTTTCCTTACCTTTGTATTCCTTTTCTTTCCCTTTGTATTCCTTTTCCTTACCTTTGTATTCCTTTTTCTTACCTTTGTGTTTCTTTTCCTTACCTTTGTATTCCTTTCCTTACCTTTGTATTATTTGTATTCCCTTTGTATTCCTTCCTTACCTTTATATTATTTTTTTCCCTTTGTATTCCTTTCCTTACCTTTGTATTCCTTTTCCTTCCCTTTGTATTCCTTTCCTTACCTTTGTATTCCTTTTCCTTACCTTTGTATTATTTGTATTCCTTTCCTTCCCTTTGTATTCCTTTTACTTTCTTTGTTTTCCTTTTCCTTACCTTTGTAGTCCTTTTCCTTCCCTTTGTATTACTTTTCCTTACCTTTGTATACCTTTTCCTTACCTTTGTATTATTTTTATTCCCTTTCTATTCCTTTCCTTACCTTTGTGTTCCTTTTCCTTACCTTTGTATTCCTTTTCCTTACCTTTGTATCATTTTTATTCCCTTTGTATTCCTTCCTTACCTTTATATTATTTTTATTCCCTTTGTATTCCTTCCTTACCTTTATATTATTTTTATTCCCTTTGTATTCCTTTTCCATACCTTTGTATTCCTTTTCCTTCCCTTTGTATTCCTTTTCCTTCCCTTTGTATTCCTTTTCCTTACCTTTGTATTCCTTTGTCTTACCTTTGTATTCCTTTTCCTTACCTTTGTATTCCTTTTCCTTACCTTTGTATTCCTTTTTCTTACCTTTGTTTTCCTTTTTCTTACCTTTGTATTATTTTATTCCCTTTGTATTCCGTTTTCTTACCTTTGTATAATTTTATTCCCTTTGTATTCCTTTTTCTTACCTTTGTATTATTTTATTCCCTTTGTATTCCTTTTCCTTACCTTTGTATTATTTTATTCCCTTTGTATTCCTTTTTCTTACCTTTGTATACCTTTTCCTTACCTTTGTATTATTTTTATTCCCTTTGTATTCCTTTCCTTACCTTGTATTCCTTTTCCTTAACTTTATATTTTCTTTTTCTTCTCTGAATATTGGAGAAAAGAATATATATCTATTTCTGCATAAATATAAAACTGTATACAGTACACACAAAGGGGGGGGCAAGTGGTAGTGGGGTGGGGTGGGGGGGATTAAGGGAATGGATGTTCAGTGCTCCCTAATAGTTTTTTTCTTGTCTCTGTTCTAGAATATTTATTTCCATTTCCAGGTTTAATTGAGAAAAAAATCTTGGATGCATCGCAACATTTATCTTTCGTGAGATGAAATTGTGGAAATGTTTATCACCCTCCATAAGTTATCAAAAGTTGTGATAAATCTTTTACAGCGAAACCGCCGAAGAAGGATTGCAAGTCATATTTTTATATTGTTTCAAGTCCTCACGAAGCAGGGCAGAAAAGTAAAATTGTTACAAACTTTAAAAACAATTTCATCTAACAAAAGAAATACACATTTAACTCTCAACTTTGGGGTGGTTTTTGAAAATCATTGAATTGAGATATTAAATAAACCTTGTTCTAAAATTGATGAGTTAAGGCGAAGTTTCTCCAGGAAAGTATTGAAGGTCTACAAAAGAGGTTATACTCAACAAAATTTTTTAATTATTTTAAAATAAAATTGTATCTAAAAAAACAAGCATCCGAAATACTTTCCAATTTTATTATATTACAGCTTTTAGTGGGATATGCTAAGATTTTAAGATGTTTAAGTGTAAAAATCCAATTTGAACCTTTGTAGGCAAATTGGAATCACATAAGTACCTTTCTTCCTGTTTAGCCTTCATGTTGTAATTTCACGTAAACTCTCATTTAAGAAGAGGAGCAAGACCGATTCACAACGAGACCCTTCAAACTCTGATCAATAACGTGGAAGCTGTCGTCGTTTCATTTTAGCTTAAAGGGAGTGTTCGCGAAAAATGAAAGGTGGTTTAGGCTTACGTCGAAAAATAAGCTCTTTTCATTTCGCTACTAATCTTACTTCTATCTGTTGCGTCTATCAGGAGCAAATTGTTAAAAACGACTCATGCTGAAGAACGTAGCGTCCATACAAGATTAGAAAGTTGCAACATTTAACTCGGATCGTAAAATAATCAATACAAATCGTTCAGATATTACAAATAATTCTCATCGATTATTTTTCGACTCATTCATATAAAGTTAATATTTCATAATATTTTTGATTTTTTTTACGTATTTCGCTGCTGCTGGATTTTTGAACATTACTGGGAAACATGAAAATGTCGTCTTCATTGTTAAAAATCCTTGAAACAGGAATAAATGTAATATCAGATCATAAAAATAAAATGAAATAACAACTAAATACGAATGCGCCGAAAAAAAACTGTCTGAATTTGCATGGACGCTATGTTCATCGGTATGAATCGTTTTTAAGAATTTTCTACTGATAGACGCAACAGATAGAAGTCAGATTAGTAGCGATCGAAAGCGATTATTTTTCGCCGTAAGCTTATTCCCCCCCCTTCATTTTTCGAGAACACTCCCTTTAAAGTGTTTGATTCGTTGTTAAATAAATACTATTTCTGAAGCAGAAATGCGCAAGTCACTTTCAATGAAAAGATGATTGATATCTCATGCATTCTTGATCCAACAAAGCTTTTAAGTTTACCGTTGTGAATCCGACATGCCCATTTGTAAATATTGGGTCCCTTGAGTTACGCCTACAGTGAAACAGCCCCTTTAAACGAGCAAGATTTGAATATTTTGGTTTTTGCCTAAATTTGCTCACCAATTTAAACTTACTGTATTATTCCTCTAATTATGGAATTTTGTAAATTTCCGGATTTTTTTCCGAAAATTTGTTTAACATGACGGATCAAATATATAGGATCGACAGATTTTACCGTCAACCAATTTATTTGGGAAAAACTTAAGACTGACATAAAGTAAACATTTTTGAGTAGTAAAATTCAAAAATTGGGAAATCATTTTCATTTTCAAATCCGTGAGCAACCCTTTTTTTAATTTCTGAACAGTCCCATTAATTGTTTCCCACCCCCATCAAACTTGACGCAGAACTCTTTTGTGTTATAAATTGAGCAATATTCTCGTAAGACTTATCGTATAGTGATAAAAGAAAATAATGGGGTTTATATAAAGAACCATATGTTTATTCCCACCAACACATCTAGACTAAACAGTACTTGCTCCACAGATAAGAAATCATTATTTCTATTTGTAGGCATTGTACTTAAATATGTGCGCAATTGAACACTTTTCGCGCAAATCTTTATGTTCTCTTAAATAATTCGTTCACCAAATAAAAACTTTTTCATTTCATTTTTGCTTTTTGTTGAATCAAGACATTTAAATAATATAGTAAAATAAAACTTTCCTAACATATCCTCCGATCTTCATATTTAGTATTAGGACTCCTCAAAGAGAAATGAGTCGTTTCCACAAACTCTGATTTTCTGATCCCTATATTTATGCAACCCAAAGTCTTAGAGCTGAGATATTTCAAACTATGACTCCTATTAGATCAAATAATTTAAGTTTGAAATATCAAAGGTTTCTAACGTCGGGTTGCAAGGTATAGGTACGATGAGATTTTTAATATTCTGTAATCACCCTGGCTTTTCCCCAATGCTTGCTAGTTTAATGGAAGTGTTTCAATTCCGCAATTTTTCAATATTTTAATTCAATATCAATCGCTACTCATTGATATTGAATTCAATTCGGGATCAGCCTGTACCCCTTAAAAATAAGATTAATCCGAAAAAATGATTGCTACTCTAAAAATACGATTTGATCCATATTTTTAAACAAAAAGAGTGCGAAAGATTCTGATGGAATTGAAAAAAGATTTATTTGATAGGGTCTCATAAACTTAGTAAAATTCTCACAAAACTTTATTAGAATCTAATAAAACTATTAGAATCATAAACTTTTAAATTGAATCAATTTATGAATAGTTTTATGAGTTATTTATAGTTTTGATGCATATTAAGAGAAAACTGTTCTTAGTGAGACGTTGAGACATTAATATTTTCGGAGGAAATAATCACAACTACAAAATGTTGTTTTACCATAAAAAGAAAATTAGCAGAAGAATTTGTTTTGTACAGCTAGGAGTTTGC